AAACTATAGACTGTCTTAACAAGTTCCTGATGTCAGTGAAGAAGACCTCCTCCAAATGGGAGGAAAGTGGACTGATTCATTGCAGGCAACCCGGCACCACTGAAGGTTAATGGACGCCTGTGTGAAGGTTTTATTTTTTCCCAGTCCCAGCTTCTCCGGTTCCCTTTATGGCCTTACAAAAGTCATTTGTATTCTCTGGGACACTTTTTTCCCCACCTGTAAATGAAGTTTCATTTAATTCTGACTTTCTTTTTTAATAGATTATAGAATGAAGTATGGTGATATTTTATTTGGTTGGTTACAAGTTGTTGTCAAGGGTTAGAAAAAAGGCTAAGCAATGGAGATTAGATTTAAGGTTCTTGGTTTTTTTTTTTTAAAAAAAAGAAAGAAAAGAAAAGAAAAAGACAATTACTAGTTTTAAATACTTTACATTGGATTGGATTGTTTTATATTGTACACAAATTATATATATTGAAATTGATATTGTTAGAAAATGCTATATGTATATTTCTAATTGTACTTATACCGTTCATTTAAAAATGTAATGCGATTTTCTGATCCTTGAATGTTATTATTACCAACTATTAGGATATAAAGAAATGAAAGTTAGTAGTTAGACATTATATTAGAACTTGTAGTCATGTTAGATATGTTTTAAAAATTGAGCAGATATATTTTAGATAGACAGGTCATCTTCAAACCCTTCAAAGATCTACAGAATATGGCATTTAAAATGTTTTAATCACTTAGAAAATTTTTCTTTTTTGTTATGACTATGAGACATGTCGGCTCCTGGCAGTACCAATCTACTTCAGAGAAAATATGGGCATTGAAGAAACTGCATATGGAGTTAACTTTCATTGTGGCAAAAGTTAGCCACTGGACAACAAAGTATCCTCGAATCAACTGTTGACAAACAGGACAGACAGGACATGAAACAAAGGACTACTGATTCTTGCCAAAACAAGTGTGGTTATGGCTTTATCAAAAGGCATCTTCTGAGGCCAGAACAATATGGCACCATCCCTGAAGTGGCCTTCGCAATTCGGAAAAGGTACAGTGCCCTTTTCTTCGAAGGCAGCTGAACAGGCAGTGTGCTGATGGCTTCTGATGTGCAATGGAACAGCAGCTGAAACAGTTGTTCTTGAAGAGTAACTAAGCTCACGCCTCTCAATAGTAGACTGGCATTTAATAGAGGGATGTGGAGAAGAATGGGATGCTGAGATGAAGCCATTTATACACAGCCAAGAAGAATGAACAGCTGAATTCAAAAACCATCAACAATTTCCAGAATTTAATATCCTGAATCATGACATTACACTAGCAGAATTCAGGTGTTTCTGGTACATGGACTGCTCTCACCCAATGTGAGGTTGAACTGTTGACCTTGTGTACATCCTACTTCACAAATGAGTCTGTCAGATATGCTAAGCCTATAGGCTGAAGATGATGCCCCAACACTACAGAGAAACCTCAGGTGACTGTTCAGGCAGCTGGCTGTTTCTGTCAACTCACAAATTTTTTGGAAGTTGCTTGCATGCACTTCCTGTTTTTATTTTTGTTAGCTAATATTATTTCCTTCTTGGGTCTCTGAGGGAGTTGAAGATTAGTTAGTTATAGTTGAAGATTAGTTAGTTATAGTTGAAGACTAGTTAGGATAGAAAGTGAATTAGGTACATTTTGGACTTACCAAAATAGGATAGATAATGGAATTATTTTCTCTGAATTTGTCAAATACAAATGGACTAGACATTGTTTAGGTATTTATTACTTGTATATATTGTATATAGTTATTGTACTTTTGTATATAGTCTTTCTTATGTTAGTTATAACCTTTTTCCTTTTTCCTTTTTATTAAAATAGAAAAGGAGAAATATGGTGATATTTTATTTGTACTGAAATGTGCTTTTATTTGTATGTCAATAAAGTTGCCTGGGGGTCAGAGCTAATAGCAAGCCATAGCAGAGCTGGGCATTCATGGCGCGCGCCTTTAATCCCAGCACTTGGTAGGCAGAACTAGGTAGATCTCTGTGTGGTCAAGGATACAGCCAGCATTGGAGACACACGCCTTTAATCTCAATACCAACCATAGAAGATCTGGAGGTCTGTACAAACAGGCAGTGATGAGACGGTCATGTATTTGGGTTTACAACCAATGAGAAGGCAGAACAGAAAGTCTATATAAAGACAAACACTCAGGAAGTAGGTGTCTTTGGCTCAAGCGGTTAGCTGCAGCAGATGGGTAAGGCTCTTAGCTCTGATCTCTTGGCTTTCTTCTTCGCATTGGTTCTGTGTTTCTTATTTAATAAGATGGTTGGTTACATTTACAATGAAGACTCTTGATTTTCATAGTGGAAAGGCTAGTCCTACAAACCATGGGAGAATCCAGTATTAATGCCCTGGACACTACCATGATTTCCAGAGCTCACATGTTACTTTCAGACTGAGTTTAATTCCCAGAAATTAATTAGACACTTTTTCTCCTCTCTCCAACCCTACTCTAATTCTTAGTCTTAAAATATTATCTCAGCTGGGTGGTGGTGGCACTTGCCTTTAATCATAACACTCGGGAGGCAGAGCCAGGGATCACAGGGGATCTCTGTGAGTTCAAGGCCAGCTTGGTCTACAGAATAAGATCCAGGATAGGCACCAAAACTGTACAGAGAAACCCTGTCTCCAAAAACAAAAAACAAACAAACAAACAAAAAATCTCATGCCATAAATAGGAATAACTAAATTACTTGATGTAAGGTCATTTAGTATACTAAATTTATTAGCAAATTAATTGTACTCAATGTTAATATTGTACAAGTTATTAAAATTTCATTACTAGTAATTTTTAAGAACAGTTTTAATTAATAAGCATTTACTATTGAACATTATGATGCCCATATTTAAGCTGTAATTTCTCCTTATTTAAAATACTTTTCAGTGCTTACCAATGCCTATCTTAAACTAGAAGAATGTTCATATTAATAATATAAAAGTGATGGTAGATTTAGGAAAAGTCTTGTTTGGATTCATTTGTAGAGTCAGTGTACTTTGAGACCAGTCTGGTTGCTGTTGGTGGATTATTACCAAACTTACTCCCATTTTACTGTTTAGGGGTACACTCATGTAATTGCAGTTTTTAAGGCAAAGTCAGCGCCTCTAGGCTCAAATGCCTGTCACTAATATCCCCAGTAAGGAGGTTAGGCCTGATTAAAAAAACAGAGGTTTATTCAGTGTGTTATCACATTTGATAAGAGGAAGCAATAAAGGGATTCTGTGACTCTGAGTTCATCTTTGGGATACTGATATGAGCTTTAGGTTTATACAGAGTAAGAACTGGGTAGGAGGAGCTGTCCATGATGGCACAAGCCTGTAACCCCAGCACTCAAGAGGCAGAGGCAGGAGGGTCCAGACAAGTTGGCCTAAATAGGAGTTACAGTCAGGAAATCGAAAGGTACTTGTAATTAAAGAGTACCTGGAAAGATAGTAGTGTGCTTGATCATTGCCTTCATTCTGGTCCTGCAAGGTCATGCTGCAAAGGTTTGCTGTTATCTCACAGTTGAGATGCAAACTGATTCTGAAATGGTTGTTTCTGCTATAGGATGTGGCTTCCCAATTACAGGTAATTGTCTTCACTTGAGTGTAGTCTGCTCTGTATGTTTATCCATTTCTCGGGGGTAGTCTGAGTTCCATGTCATAAAGATTTATTTACTAGTCTTGTTTTTCTAAGTGGCTCATGCGTGTGAACTAAAGTTGTGGGTGAGGGGGCAGCCACACCTGTGTTAAAGAATCTACGGAGCTGAAAGGTTACAACCTTCTGGTTTGGGAAAGTAGGAATATTGCAGATTATTCTAGGCTCTCTTTGTCCCTTTATGGCCAATTGCTTCTCATCTCTAAGTCTGATCTAACATCCTATGACTACTGATATTAGCTGATACCTGGCTTCTGTGGGCATTTCTAGGTTTAGTGTGGTCCAAAATGAGGAATGGACAGTGGATAGTGGCAAGCAGAGAATAAGAAAGGAGACACTTCCAAGGAAAGTGCTTCAGTGGCTGCGATTTTCTTTCTTTTTTTTCACAGCAATGTGCTTATATTTTTCATCATTTTACTTTCTAACACTGAGAATAAGTACACAAACTTAAAATCAGACCAAATAAAAAGGCACATGGAGGCACTGTTTTAGCTATTTTTTTTTCATTTGTCAATAAGAAAGCAGGCAGACACCAGATATCTATTTCAGTTGTATTTGTTAACTTCCCAGTTTAACTCACATTCTTTTCTGACATATACCCTTATGAATTTGAGGTCATTTTTCTGAAAATGCACTAAAATTACTTATGCTTGCCTGTTAACTTTTTAAAATGCTGATGAAAGAACACTACAAATATACCACTATTGAGGCAAAATAGGAACAAAGCTTAAAAACACCAGACAAAATCCAAGTAAGAGTAAAAATGCTCATTTTATCAATCTGTTGCTCCCATCTCCACTGTATAGCCCATAGTGGCCTGCTGGAATTGCAGGCCTGCATTATCACATCCAGCTTCTCCTCTTTCAAATATTTAAATGCCTTCAGTGTCTGAGTTTAAACTCTTCCAATGTTAAATGGAAGGCTGATATGGATGGAGTTATTGTCACAAGAGTCTAGGACAGAGGTATAAGGCAAGCAAATGGCATCACTGGGAGATGCCCATGCACATACTCTACTTAGATCAGACTACTAAGGCTGGCTGAGCTCAGAGGCTGATCTGGACTTTATAGGTCATTCTTCCTTTATTGGGTTCTATTTTGTTCCATATTTGCTTGTTTCACTATTTTGTAATTAGGACAAGGTGAGAGGTTCAGTTAGTCTAAGAATGCTTAGCCACACCACAAACTGTCTTACTCAAATATTTTTATCCTTCTGAACATATTCATAATTTCCACCTACAGTTATTTTAAAGATGACAGTAAGTCAGATGAAAAGACAGGTGGGGCATGGGGCTAAGGACTGCCACCACCCTTGGGCATGGCTCTGGTGAGTGAGTTGACCAATGGTGGTGGGCAGGACCATCTAGTGAGTCTTCTCCAGGAAGACCTTGCAACACCCGAGGCATTGCTGGTACACCACTTCGAAGTCAGAATCATTGCCATAATAGGGATCTTCAATAATGAGTTGTTTCTGTGGATCACAGCTCCCAAGTAACTCAATTTTAGCTTTGCAGTTTTTAACCTGATTACTTCTTCTATTCAAATCTCTCAGATTGCTTTCATCCACACATAGTATATAATCAAATGTGGCAAAGTCTTCTCTTGTAATCTGCCGTGCAACGTAATTCATGGGGATGCCATGTTTTCTCATGCAGCTCTGCCCAAGATAGTCAGGGGGCTTCCCCACTTCATAGGTGGATGTAGCTGCACTGTTTGTCCTCCAATTATCTGGAACATTTTCATCAGTTACCAATTTTCTGAAAACTGCTTCTGCAGTGGGTGACTGGCAAATGTTACCGAGACACACGAGCAACACTGACTTGGTCCCAACTTCTGCCATCTTTCAGTCGACTGTGATTTTCTTATCTGGTCTGTCCCTAGTCCACATTCAGGGTTGAATGGAAGAGCTTAAAAGTTTATTTGTCCTTTTAGAGAATCTAGTATACCTTTGTTGATTGTGCTGCGTCTTCACTAGTTGTTTTACTTTTTGGCTGGATATTTAAGATCATACATATCCCCCCCCAAATGACCTTTATTTATTTACTTTTTTCAATTGTTAAAATCAGCCAAGTTTCCTCAGGAGCTACTCTTAGGGATAGAGGAGGAGCCCCTGGCTCCTGTCGTTTTCCCCTGCCAGTTGTACCATCTGCTAGGATGGCTCAAGGTCTTGCTGACCATGTGACTCCCTGGAAGTACAGAGGATATATATGTATATCCCCCACTGTGTTCATCCTCCTCTTTTCAGAATGTACACTGGACTTCCATAGCCTCTTGATCAAGATGACAGAAGACTCACTTGAGTTGTAGGATGTTTTTGTTTTTTGAGAGGTCTTCTGAAGCCCAGAAGGACTGGGTGCTTGTTGAGGATGAACATGACTTTGAGTTTCTGATACTCCTGTTTCTACCTCTGGAGTGGCTAGGATTCTAAGACTGTAGCTACTACTCCAGGTTAGGTGCTGAAGACCAAACCAGGGCCCCTGGTATGCTAGAACAGCATTCTATCAACTGTAGGATCTTACATCTGTAGGATCTGTAGAATGCTTTGAAGGGTGTCAAATCAACCCCTAGGACCTAGTTGGCCTAAGAACAGTTCCAATTTGCCTGTTCTCTTTCTGAGATGTATATAAATGTCTCTGTGTTATTTTAACTTTATTTTATGTATACAAGTGTTTTGCCTTCATGTGTGACTGTTTACCATGTGAATGGGGTACCTGCAGAGGCTAGAAGATATCAGACTAAAAGATCATTGTTAGCTGAGATGTCTATACTGGGAATTGGGCCTGGGCCCTCTGGAAGAGTAACCAGTGCTGTTAACCACTGAGACACCTCTTCAGCCCCACAACTTCCACTCCTTGCTGCTGCCCTTTTTGAGACAAGGTATAACACAAATTGCTAAATGGTCTTATTAATAGAAAACCCAGAGCCAGATATTGGGGTGAAAGCTGAAAGATCAGAGAAGCAGAGTAAGCCAGCCACACATTCTTACCTCTATGAAATCTTCAGTCTAAAGAGAGCGAGTTCCTGTTTCCTCACCCCTTATGGATACTTTCTGTGTCCTGCCATATTACTTCCTGGGATTAAAGGCATGTGTCACCACTGCCTGGCTCTGTTTCTCTCATGTAGCCTGGTGTGGTCTTGAACTCACAGAGATCCAGATGAATCTCTGCCACCCAAGTGATAGGATTAAAGGTGTGTGTCACCACTGCCCGACCTCTATGTCTAATTTAGTGGCTGGCTCTGTCCTCTGATCCCCAGGTAAGCTTTATTGGGGCACACAATATATCACCACACAAGGTCCCACTATATGGCACTGATCAGCCTGAAATTTAGAGATCTACCTGCATAGTGCATTCCTGCTGAGCTCCTGGTCTGGCTTCAAAGAGTAGCACCTAGCCCTAATCCTTCCTTTGTTTAGCCACACCTTTTGTTTCTCTTACCTTTTATTTCTTTTATCAACCTATGTGAATCTTGTCTGAGAGTAAGGACAACGATCAAAGGCCTATGCAAAACTTGGTTTAGGAAACCCCTAAAAACTGTGGTACCTGATAAATCAAATAATTTGCACTGGGTATTGTATCTATGGAAGCTCCTATCAGGTTGCTTTAAAGGTATTGAAATTAGCTGACTAAACTGTAATTAGAGAGAAATAAAAATGCCCTAGGCAAAGGGATAATGCTTCAGTCCTTCGAGGCTGGACACCTCTGTAGCCATGAGAGGCTGTATTCATTCTTAAGATGCCTCTGAGTCTTCCTTCCATGGAGTTGCATGAACCCACACACCTGTGCTGTGACAAACAGTTACAATTGGTGCCCAATATGTGGCTCGAAGAAGGAAAAGGATCTAAAGAAGGACAGAGGAGCAGATCTTCTTAAGAAATGGAGGAAGTGCTCTCAGGGTAAGAAGACTCCAGGATCAGCAGGGTCGTGGGGAATTTAAACTCCCCATCTCAGGAGCAACAAAATGTACAGTTGCTAAATGCTTGTCAAAATAAAAAGCGGTAACTGCATAATTTTTAAAGATAGAAATAAAATGGCTTCTGGGACAGGAAGTAAATAAAGGAAAAAGACCTTTCTCAATAGAGAAGAGGGAGAGGGAAGGAAAGGAAATAAAAGGAAATTTCCCATTAGAAAAGGGAGAAATTTTTAATAAAAAATAATACTACTAATTCCATAAATCTACCTTACGGCTCCCCTCAAGGGAAATAGTCTCACTTGGAGTTAAGGGCTCCAATCAATGACATCTCCTTTGGAGATATTAATTAGCACTCCAGGTTTCTCAATCTTACACTGTTGCCAATGTACCCAGTCAGATTCTTTGTTGGTAACCCTCATCTCACAGAACGGTAGATTTATGGAATTAGTAGCATTAATCTCTTGTCCTTTAAAACCAGATGCATGAAACATATAAAACTTATTAGGATAATCTTGAGTAGTATTGACTATGAATAGCCATACTTGAGACATTATTTTTAGACACTGAATTCCATTTCCCATGCAAATAGGAATTACTTATACTCCCACGGTGTAATTGTCAATCACTTTACCCTCCTCCATTGGCTGAGCAGGACCTCGGTTGTCCTAAGGACCAAGTAGCCAAGAAGATTCATTAACCACTACAGGAATATTCTTATCTCCCCAACCTACTGCTATGTTAATTGGAGGACTGGAGATATAAACCCAATAATTATGATCCATCCCTTTTACCTGCACCTTTACCATGGAAAGCATGGTGTAGCATTCAAAGGCTTGTGAGTCATGTGAAGAATCAAAAACTCTTAAGCTGTCCCCAGGTAAGAGGATTAGTTGTCTGTTGCAAAGGTCTCCTGTGTCTTGACTTCAGCAGAGGCATTCCTGCATCGGCAGCATCTTGGAGATGTCTTTTGCTCATGGTAGATTTTTATCAATTTCAATGAAATCCACAATTTATTACCTCCTGTGGAAACATAAACATAACCTTGTCCTTAACACTTTCCCTGGACTACTTTGATGTTAAAATATTTATAATACATGAGCTGACTCGATTCAGCAATTCTTTCCATAACTCAATGTTGTTCTTGTTTTATTAGCATTTAAAAAATTTAAAGCTAGTGGGGTATTATGTAGTCTATTTCTGGGGGTCCTTATATCTCCCTTCTGTTTAACAAACACCTCTTTTAGGGTGAGGTTAGATCTCTGAACAATTGCTTAATTTTAGCATTGGTATAGGGTATCAGAATCTCAGCTGGATCCATACCTGACAATTGACGAAGTCTTAATCTTTCCTTTATGATTAGTTTAGAAATCTAGGTTTTTAATTGTTTACTCTGTTTGTGAGCTAAGAAAATCCATTCCAAAATATAATCCTCTCTCTGCATAATGAGTCCAGTAGGGGAATGATTGAAGGTAAAATTACTAAAATACACCTCTTTGTAATGTCTAATCTATCCATATAGGCATTTTGTAATTTTTGTTCTACTAGGGCTAATTTTGTTTTTTAACCTCAGCTGTTAATTGTCTTGGACTGTTTAAATCTGAGTCACCTTGCAAACTTTGAAACAAATTAGTTAAGTCTTGAGGAGACAATCCAATTGTAGGCTGCAACCAGTTAATATCACCCAATAATTTTTGAAAATATGCAGTCGATCTCTCCTAATCTGTATCTTCTGTGGCTGAATTCTCAGTTTACTTAATTTATAGCCTAAATAGCTAAGAGAATCTCCTCTTTGTATTTTTTTAGGAGAAATTTGTAATCCTCAACAAGGTAAATTTTTTTGTACTACATTAAAATAGTTTTTTTTAAGGTATCTGTATCAGAAGCAGCCAATAAAATATCATCCATATAATGGTAAATAACAGACTAAAGAAATTGTTTACAAGTCATTTTCAGTGGTTGATTTACAAAATATTGACATAAAGGTGGGCTACTGACAGTGGCCCATACTCTAAATTTAGATAGCCGAATCTTGTCCTATCTTGCCTTTGTACAACATGAATAGCACATGACCTTCCCTTATAATTTTTTCTGATGCTCTTTCCAGTTAAACATCAATTTAAACATCCTAATTTAAACATCAGTTTATGAGCTATTTCTAAAATTGTAGGAATATTAATTTGAGGTCTCCATTGTTGTAACAAATCTCTCCCCCATAAATTCATGGCTGTATCAGCCACATACATTTAATCCATTCTACACTCTGTTTTACTTGAGATAAGGTTCCAATGCCTACAAATTGAGTAGAGACTTCTTGTAAAGGCCAATTAGGATCCCAGGATTCTTGTAAAATTGTAGATACAGCCAGCATCAGAATCCAATTATCCTTCAATCTCAATCCCATTTAATTTTACTTTTAATTTAGGCTCTTCATCATTGATAACTGTTTGCCAAAACATCTTTTCTCCTGTATTTCCAAGGCCTCCAGTTCTACATATCAGAGCCATTTTGCATTTAAGATATGGAAGCAATAATTGAGCATTTCTATCACCAGCTTTTATTTCCATGGCTCTTTTTACATATGCCATCTATAAAAGCATTAAAGGATTTTAAGAGGTAATGTTAGGCAATACTCTGGAGTATTTTCATAAAATCTTAAAAAGAGGATCCTTTTTTTTTATAGATCCCAAGTAACAGATTAATGCAACTCATCAATTATTAACAATGTGGATCAAACATTTTACCTGTATTTTATTTAGTGGAAAAATAATTTTGTAACATCTTTATGAGGAAGAGATTATTTTCTATGGGTTTTTATTCTACTAATCACATTATTTAATAAGCTGACAACCCAATCTGTTTCAGGTGTTACATTTCTATATAATTTAACCAAGAATTTCTAAAAAGCAACATAAAGAGCAGAGCCAAATT